GCGACTTTTTTAATATGACTAACTGTGCACTCGGGTTTCTCTTTCTTATTAGATCTTTTCGAACACTTCACGAGAAATAAAAATACCAAACCTAAAAAGTACAAAAAACTAAGCTTATACCACACAATACAGAGTTGGCGAATAAAGGGGATTTGCCATTTCTGGAAAAATAAATTAAAAAAGGGAAGTAAAAGACGTCTATGCGCACAAAAAATAAAAAAATAAAAACAACTGCTCTACGAACCAGCGTTCTGGGAAACAAAAAAAGAACTACGCCATAGACTAAGTCTATTAATAAAAACAAATCTTTGAGCAACGTCAGGAGAGACTTTGGGTGAGGGGTGCCACCTACAAATCATAGCCACATACTACAGCTAGACCGCGCACTGTCATGGACGGCCATGGCAATCCATTCTCTTTTGTACGTTTCCTTCGAAGCTTGGGCACTACGGACCACGCCTACCATCACGGCCTAATGAAAGGCAAAAACAAGTCTCGCTATTGCCGAGGGCGAGCAACACCTCCCCCCTGGCTTTGAAGGTATCTTAGATCTTAAATAGCTTAGCTCCTAGCCCTTCATTTGGCTCAAATTGAGTCACATGGTGCACCCCATAGTGAATCGGAAATACGATAGCGAGGATAGTCTAGGATATTGTAATATAAGTCTAAGATAAGTACTTTTCAAGTTTTACTCGAGAGGTTATTGAATTATTTTGACTGAGAACTACTGGACCCGGAACATTTCCAAATATTTGACTGTCAAAACCATCCGGTCATCCAGATTTTTTAAAAAGGTATAGCTTTCTGGTTTCACCGCATTCAGATAATTGATTCGTTAACTTACGCATGCTAGTAAGGTTTCTTTCTCATTAAATCACCGTAGTAGAAAGAAAAACACGTCATCATTCAAAATCAATTAATAAAATCCAGAAATATCCTGATAAGTGGGTGGCGTTGGTAGCCTAGTGGCCAGGCTACCGGACTCGTATTCGTGAGATTGCGGGTTCGGAGGTTCGAGCCTCAGCTCGGTCCGACGTTGTGTCCTTGGGAAAGGCACTTTACACGAATTTCCAATTTGGCTCGGTCCTTTCGGAGATGGACGTTAAACTCGGAGGCCCCGCCTCTTAAATAACCTAATAGTGTTGATAGGGGCGTTAAATCTACACCATTTCACATAATTTTTCCTGATAAGTGGCACCCGCCACCTCCCAAAGACACCTGCACAGCTCCATAAAAGTAAAGTATAGTTCCCCCCTTTCGTTGAACTGCTTGATCTAGTGCGCAACATTTAGGGGTCACCGTGGGGTGAGAGAAGGGGGGGGTGGTCACAGTGAGGCTGTTAGCTATGGCTTGCAGGAACAGAAAACAGCGAGTAACGATCGTCGTGATGCGCACAGGCATATGAGTTGGGGGTTATACTTTACTTTTACCCACTTTTCTGACTGGGAGCAATTTCACATAGCTGCCAACGTTTAAAAACCGCGGGGGCTCAGGATAGTGAACACTGGCTTAGAAAGCGCCCCCCTCATATTCAATCTTTTCTTCCACACACTTTTTTTATACAATAAAGAAATTCAAAAGCAAAATGTTTCTCTAACTGACTAACTGGCCTTCATTTTCATCTTCGCGAATCTGGTCTCAAAAGTTCCTATTTTTTCCTTCATTATCGACACATGCATAAGGAGCAATACAAGAAAATGGAGTATACATATTTTTCGGGACCGTATGGGCCACATTTGGCACATGAAATTAAAATGAAGATACAATGCGACAATAGTTAACCTTGGTGGACCTTAAGTCAATGTTCTCTATCAGAATAGATCTTGCTGTCTAGAAAAAAAGACCCACAACAAATCTTTCAACTATAAGAACGAAGTATTTAACATATTTCCATGTGCAAGCTCAAATCCCACGATTTTTCTAAACTCTGTAATAGAATTCAGCTTCTAGAGGGTTCACTGATACTGACATTTTTAGACGTGTCTCGTCCTAAACAGCGTGGTTTCCCGCCAAAAAACATATAATGTTATTGTGTCATTCGAAACGGTGGAACCTAGGCGCGCGTCAATTTGGG